ACTGTTAAAATAATTGAATGTACCCAGTACTGGTGTTCATGTCAACACAGCTGGGCTACAACTGGTAATATCTGAGTGGGCCAAAATCCCTGCTGCAGTGTGTACAAACCTGGTCAAGAACTACAGGAAACGTCTGACCTCTGTAACTGTAAACAAAGGTTTTGGTACCACATATTAAGTTCTATTTTTCTATTGTATCAAATACTTATTTCATGCAATAAAATGGAAATAAATTATTTAAAAATCTAACAATGTGATTTTCTGGAATTTTTTTGTAGATTCTGTCTCTCACCGTTGAGGTGTACCTACGATGAAAATTACAGATCTGTCCGTTCTTTGCAAGTGGGAAAACTTGGAAAATCAGCGGTGTATCAAATACTTATTTGCCCCAATTTATTTGTTTTGCTTGTGAAATTGCATTTTATCTTGTGCAAAAGAGAGAGAAATAGCTCGCACTGGACTACCCTGGAAAAATAAAGGTTGAATGAATGAAAGGGAAACTTGTCTTTTAACTGCGTGTTTTCTTACACTTCAAATAGGATTCAAATGAAAAACAAAGTAGTTCATCTACCTAATTGTGAATGACAGTTCAGAGGAAATGACTTATTACTCTATATTTATTTTATAAACAAAATGTTTCTGCTTCAGGTTAATAAGATTGCCTGTCACAACTTAAAGAGCCGCTCAGTCTGGGCCCACCGTGACAAAGCCATATACATTGCTCTCCCTCTCATTTAACAGTAAGGCTGTATACACTCACCAGCAACTTTATTAGATACACCTGGACAATTGTATGCACTTCAATGCAACACTTCCGCCTTAACATCTGTGTTTATGAAGATCAAATTGTTTCAGTTTTTGATGAAATTGTAAATGTATAAATTCATCTATATGTTTATTATTGAGGTCATAGTTAAAGGTGGTGTTGTACTGGACTACATTATATTCAGAGGTGTTCCTAATATTCTGACCCTCTCATGTATGTAGCTGAGGAAGACAAAACATATAGAGACAATTTCACAATTTTTCTGATGCCAGCAAGAAATGATTGCACTGTAGGGAGCTGAAGAGGTGTACAAAATAGGCAAAACAAGAGCATAAGAGTGAAACAGAGTTTGGCACAACAATCGTTCCATCTTGATTATTTTGTTTTCATAATCAATGGAAACCAATATCATAACTGAAAGTTCAATTCAATGAATCGCTCAGCCCCAATTTAACTATTAAAAAATCCATGTAACCACCAAACCTTTGCTTTGGAAAATCCTTGTTATCTGATTTATTAATATGAATTTTGTGGACTTATATGCATCTGAAACCAAGAATTTAGATGTAGCCATAACGTGCATTCATAAACAATAAAAGCATGGAAATTGTAAAATCATACAAATATTTGATCATTTTCTAGTCAGTAAATTTTGTTGCCAGCAGGGTGTAGTTATGTTTTATCTGCTTGTAAAACTAATTGCTATTCCAAATCACCGCTTCCCTCTCCAGTTCAACAACTAAACGCTCTGTAGGTCTAAGCATCAACAGTGTTGGTGGGTGTCTTATCTGAACTTGTTTATTGCGCCTGTCAGGCTTATGTATGGATCTTCTTTATGGATTAATTCATTTTTATTCTACCCACAGCTCCCTGGTGTTTTCTTACTTTTCTTTTGAGTGTTGTATATTGTATAATTTATTTGTTTGTTAATGTGTGTACAAAGCCACTCCAAATAAACTGCATGGGTGGCATTAATAAAGTTGTTTGTTTTATATTGTGTAACTGTAAAGGCCATGCTACATTATTAATTACCTCCTGATGAAAGATGGCAGACTAAATGCTGATTGCTCGTGGTCTCTTTGTATAGCCAAAGCAAGTGCACAAGGACCAGTGAGAGAAAGTGACAAAGGCCGCACAAGCCAAGCATGACGCGTCTCTGCTCCCCTGCTTTTGTTTCTCAGTGATAAATAAGAGAGCAGCTTTTTGACCTCCAGGAGCATCTCACCATTTCATCTCAGTAGAGCGTATCAGGCCTGATCACAGCACACATTTGAGAACCACAGGACTGTCATAAATGAGTAATGCAGCTGTCACTTTAGCTCAGTTAACATAAAGTGCTTTAAACCCCAACACAAGCCTCGTGTCGCACTCACCCTCAGAGAGCAAACTGATCACATGATGTCATGCCTTTGGTGCACAGATTTATTTTAGAATCTCTTTTGCATTTTAGCACGACAAGAATGCAACAAAAGCAAATTCCATTATCATTTACAATTCATAACACCAAAGCTGCTGTTTGACTTGACCAGAGAATTGGGCTATTTTTAGCAGAACTTGTCATGTGAACGTTGTCTGAGGGTGCAGCTAGAGGATACGGGTACTGTACTGTGGGTCATGAGGCCAGTAAAATATGTCATTCATCCCTTGGGGATATGTGAGAATGTCCTCACCATAAACATTTAAATCTCATAAATACTGTCATAATTCTACATTTGATTACAAGCTTGTGTGCAAAGTGGAGCTAGAAGGAGACAGAACATGCACAATGGAAGGTTGTGCATGCTCTGGGTTACGCGATTGTCCTCAGTCAAATTTGCAGGGAGTTCTGATGATGCCTTACTTTTGTGGTGAAGTGGATAAATATCTACTGGAACCTTCATGGAAATGTGACCACTAACTCATGGAACAAAGAGCTGAGCTGTCGAGATTTCTTTTTCCAAGCTAAAACCTTGTTTCTTTATTAAAATGGAAATACAAATTTTATATTATAACTGCCTGTGTGCAGCACCACCAGGGACATGCACCGGATCTCAGTATTAATCAGAAGCAGGCAGGATCGAGCTAAACATACTGACATTAAAATGTCAGAACAGTGCAGCCTGGTCTGGTAATAAAACCTGCTGTGGCACCAGGTTCACCACTGACAGAATGAGCTCTCATATCACATGTGCCTGTTGACAGTTTCTATGTTAATTACCATGATTTCCTTTCTGTGCTTTGGCAGCACAGATACACTGGCATGTGCAGCCATCTGAAACATTTGCTTACTGTAAATTTGCTGCTGGGTGATAAATTCAATTTCAGTTGATTCATTAGATTTTTTTTTTGTTTTTCACCAATATCAAAAATGTCTAAATCACAAAATCGAGATTACTTTGCCGTCACCCAAACGCTGGTGGCAGTGGTTCTCTGGAGTTACAGTAACGATAGTAACGTAAACTGTCGGCGAGGAGAATTGTGAGCGTTGCCAGGCAACAAGTTCGAGTAATGGCGGCTGCAGCAGCTAGCGGCACCGAAATACTACAAAAGAAAGGTGGCCATGTTGCTTCCATGAGCAGTTCGATTTTGTAAAAACTTTATTTGAACTAAAAGTGGCAACGGCGCAAACGTGTTTAGTTGTATGTAGTTCTTAAACCAATTCCATGTTTTTTCTAGTTACTGACGACCAGTGATACTTTATTTAAAATGCTTCCATTTTTAACAAATAACCTTACAAATGCAGCTTTTTTTTAAATCACTACTATTCTTTACAATGTTTATAATATGTAAAAATCACTACTCCTATTCTTTACAATGTTTATAATATGTAAAAGCAGATGTTTGCTAGCTATGTTTTTCTTTTGATATTGTAACCATGGCCCTGGGAAACAGCATAGTTTTATTCAAGAAAACCATTCGTTTATGTAGACAGAAAAAGTTCTTACTATCGTGAATTGTCCATAGCACTTAGGAATAAAAAGTTAATTTTTGGTCATATAGACCAGCCTAACTCTAACAGAAGGAATGAACGTCTGGCATTTAGAGTAAAACCACTATAAACCTAACGCAGTCTAAGAAACCCCCGTTGTTGAAACTGTTCTAGGGGTTAACTTACCTTTATGATTGTTATGAGGCTGTGGTGCTTTTTGTGTTGTACTGAGAAGCGTGTCTAATATTTTGACCACCCTATATTACTGAGGGTAGACTAAATGTTAGGAACACCTCAGCTAGGAGTGTAGCCACTGACTGTATCAGAAGAAATGTGTTTAGTTTTAGTACCGTGTTTGAAAATGGTCTCTATAGCTGAAAACACAACACATACGGTATATGCACAAACTTTCCTTAATAACAATAAACGCCTTACAGCTAAAGTCATCACAGTTATTTTCTGTTACCTGCTAATTTTTACACTTTAATTTTGATTGAGTAATTAATCATTTGGAGTGTAATTTTTTTATGGTCCGGTATTGAAAGCCTAGTGATATTCAGTTACCAAAGAAAAGCACTGTCTCCTCGTCTGAGCACTAGAAAGCAGTGAATTTTTCATTTTTGCTTGACAAATGACCGTCTAATTAGAGCAGCAGATACCTTGTAGGCTAAATGACTGATGGATGATGAAAACTGTTCTCATCTCCACAGATCACCTCACAAATCATTGGCAGCACTCGTGCAATCAAATACAAAACTGCACAGCTTCGAGCCCGGGGTGAAAAGCAATCTGTCTTCAGCAGGTTGTGTACATTCTCACGTAGGAGTCGACCGACAGCAGCACACACAGCTGTAGACAGTCAGCAGTTTCCGTTCACCAATACACATCATCAGAACACGTCCAAAGACAGACTCTTAACAACATCACATGGAGGCTTGGAGCAGCCAAATGACCCCAGTCTGCACAGTGAGCGCAGTCTCTCCAGGTTGCACTTCACTCGAGAGTGAAAAGACATGAACCTGTTTGCTTGACCTTCATTTCACACAGTCCATTCTGCTCTGAGGAAACACCGGCGAGCACATGCCAACTTGTTCATCTGCATGGTACTGACACAAAGGACCTCGACTTAAAAGACGCTTCAGAGTGAACTTGAGATGACAAACAACAACAACAAGCCTTAAAATAGTCACAGTGTTTCCCCTGCAACGCCAGGGTAACAACCAGGGGTAAAACTCCGCTGCTCTGACTGTCCACATCACCTACACATCAGCGTTGACAGGACAAAGTGGAGAGGAGCTGACAGGTGAGCCGAGGTAACATACTCACAGTGCGTGGCGGCGGACGCTCCGCTTAAGACGCTCAGAGTGTAAAGGGTAACCATACGCAGCAGAAAAAACATTTTCCCAGCCTTGGTGTGGTTATCCATGCATCCGCAGAGAGGGAAAACTGACGACAGGTTCCTCCTTGCTCCTCCAGCACGGAGGGATAGAAGGAGTCTGATGCGGAGGAGCAAACCGCTCCCACAACGGCACTCCCTCTCTATGAGGCTCGGCCCACCTCTCTCCCTCTCTCTCTCTCTCCCTCCCTCTGTGTGTGTGTGTTTCATTGTGGGGCCCAAAAATTGCTATAAAATGCGGAATAACAGCAAAAACCCACAGAGTAGATCTGCAGCAGCAATGTCTGGTGTCGCCTACAGAATGTGGGAAATCAGATAATATTTTAGTTCTCTATTGCTGCTGCCTGCTGACGTTGTTTATTCATAAATATTACAACCTAAGCAAGACAGTGTGCAGGAGTTTTTGTTCTGATTTGTTGTTCCTCCTAAACGCCTCTAAAAAGTCAGGTGTGCATAGCCTGGATCAGATAGTTTAAAAATGATAATATTGTAAAATAACAAGCAACCTGTGGTACCACTGGAGAAGCAAAGCATGGCAGGTTGATAATGAATCCACTATCACTACAACTGTAGCCTTTATTTGACGAAGCACCTGCTTGAGACGAGTTTTATCTTGTCATGCTTTGCACAAGCACCAGAAAATCTATTAAATATACCCTCCCCCAAATCTAAATGGTTTTACTGGTGTGATTTGCTGTCAGCCTGGCACAAGGTTCATAATATAACCTGTAAATAAACGCTAAGAGTCTACAGCCACCTGTCTTGTAGTGTTGTACGCTAAATGCTAAGGTCAGCATGCCACAACGAGTGTGTTACATGCTTTACCTGGTTAATGTCTGTCCGAATGTCATGGCAATTTGCTCATTAGTAGGCGAGGTATTTCTCGACCAAAGTGATGGACTGACAGACGTGACTATTTCTATAGGCTTTGACATGTGAACAACAAAGAGTTCCCCCCCTAAATGGACAAGTGGTTTGCACACATATACAGTAATACACACTATTTGCTTTATACTGTAGAATTGCTATACACTATATCATAGTTTGCTATAATAGAAGAAAAAGAGATTATTGCAATAAATCAGTAAATAAAATAAAACTATATAGTTTAACAATTATATGTGATTGGAACAACAAAGATAATAGAGCTCAACAGAGGAAAGAAATTGAAGGCACTCATTACAGCACTATGTGTTATGGTCAGCTTTATGTTTTGAGAAAGTTATATTTTTGGTATTTGAGTTTTATTTTGCTAAAGAACTGGACTCCAGTGTTTTTGTACAGGCTGCACTGTCTCTACATTGTTGCTGGCAGAACTGACTCAGTCTGTTTTCTCCGGGTTGCCAGGTTTTCCTATGACAACCATTTTCACTGGCCAATTTGTGGTCACTTGTATGGTCACTTAATCTTTTTTGGATTAATATCTTTTTTCTGATTTCTAACACTGCCCACGCCAACGACCACTCTGCATTGTCTATTCACCGCTTAATAGCATTAAAAATTGCTTGGAGTTTTTTGTTGCAGATGCTCAGGGGCTCATGCATGCTGAGTGTCATGACCAGCTTTTTGAGGAAACGTCCCTCCATTTTACATCTACACCCATTTTAACCCTGCACATAGCCTACATTTTAGCACAGTGAAGGTTGAACATCCAAGAGAGTGAACCAACAATCACTAAAACAGTTCTTAGTGGAGATGGACAAAATGTTCATCTAGTTCTGTTTTTGGACACAAATAGCAGAAAATCCACCTGTTCACATTGTTCATATTTTCTTTACTGGCATTACTAATAATAAAAAAATAAGTACAGTTTTGCCAAACACATTGTAGGTAAACAAAGCATCACCCCCAGATGTCTAAAATATTTTCCTCAGTACTGATACAGTCAACAGGAAGGAGGATGCAAACACAAACACAAAGGCAAGCAGGTGGGTGACTTTATTTAAAGATGAAGTGAAACCAGTTTACTGTACAAGCAGGCAGGAAGAGTATATACGAAGAACTTGACAGTGTGGTAACTGTGGTAAGAAGACTGGTACGTAGGTACAGTACATAATGATTAGGGAATGGGAGTCAGGTGACTGCATGGAACGCATGAAAAGGTGTGGGGGTGCAGGTCAGGACGGACTTGGAGTCAGGTGGCTGAAACAGGTGAGAAGGTCTGAGAGCAGGTGCAGAGCAGCAGGTCTGCACAGGTCCATTTAAAAGTAGGGATCTGATGAATTGGGAATGTGGCTGATGGGGACAGAGGGGCAGACTGGGCAACGTTTATCATCACACATTATGTGCTTTTCTTATGCTCACACATTATTAAACCATAGAAATGTTTCTTTTAATGGACTATGTATATATTGTAGTACTTTTTCAGGGTGTACAACAACAAAATGAATGATTTAAAGCGCTGTTATACAACTTTTGAAAGAAGCAATAACATAACCTTTTAGAATCAATAAGTTGAACTCATAAGCAATAAAACACACTGTTGGTCAATTTAATACTTTTAGAGGATTTTACTGCGGCAGCCTTACTTTGATTTTAGCTTGTGGTGTTAACAAACTTTAGACAGTTATATTAGTAAGTTAAGAAAGAGCCAGTAAACACAAACAAACATCCACAAATAATTTAAAAACAATACAAAAAGGAGGCTTCAGAACTGAACCTGAGAACTGTCATATTGTAAAGTTTTTTTAAATATCAAAGTAATCCAGTGATAAGTGTCTGCACAGGTCCTGCTAGCAGATCATTCTGCATACTTTTAATGGCACCAATTTGCCAACATGTAGGCTAAAAATGGGGTTTTAAAAGAACAGCGGTACCTACCTGGACTGGACATTACAACAGTCCATTAAAGAGCTTATGGGGTGTAGCTCTGTCATCATACTGGTTCCCATCTATTAAACTGGTAAAATATTAAAGACTTCCTCTATTCTTACAGAAAAGCCTGACTTCCCATGGAGCTCTTAAAATGCAGGAGATGGACAGATGTTCTATAGGAAAAACACAAGAGATTTTAAAATACAAGGACATTGTTCAGAATGGGATTTAAATTACAGGAGGATCAGCAAGTTTGCTGAAAACCAGTAGGCAATTTTGGCTGCAATTATTACCGGAGATGCAGTCACCCCACATCCTCTAGAGAAATAAATTCCGCCTGAATGGGGCTTTAGGCTCAGCTTGAATTGCTGTAATGTTTTCCTGTATCTTTATGAGAGCTTTTCTGTCCACATAATGCAAACCTAGTTTTCATATTCAAAGTGCCTACAACTTTAGTCACTGAAACAAATGTTCCTAAATGTTCCCTCCTCTGTATTGAGCTCCAGAGAGCCATAAAAGGATAACAAGAGTATGTCGCCGCGAGGAGCTGAACATGAGGAATTCTACAATAGAAAACGAAAATGGCCGACTGACATTGTCAGCCACTTCATTTTAATTGCATGGATTATGGGGTTCATTTCCAAAGCTAATGTATCTTGTTTCATTGCCTTTCACACTGCTGTTCCAGTGCTCTCTCAAAGCTTTTCTTTACACTGAGGAGCATATAAAGTCCCTCCATGCTTCCATTTTGGCTCTTACCATTCACCTCAGGAATAATGTCCATTTGGGAAATGTGGACATAGTTGTCATTACTGGCCAGAATCACTGACTACAGGTTAGCAGAACAATTTCTCCATTATCTCAAAAACCTACATGAAATAATAACAAAAATTAAAATTCTTTTAAAGCTTGTACAATAGCTATTATTTAATCACACTGTTTCCTCATCTTGGCATCGAAAGAAGTGTCCCCTTCCTCTATTGTAACCTGACAACACTCCTTGATTTTATTCTCTGGTGGTGACTGTCTCATTTGTTAAAAGAGGGAGACAGAAAATAGCCTGTGGAAGGGTTTGAAAAGCAAATCTAATCAAAACCTCCTCTGCAGTCATTAAAGCAACTTTAGAGAGAGCAAACTAATGAAAAACCACACCTGAGCATTACACAAATATTATTAGAAGTATTAGCTATTAAAGTTTTAAAGTTTCATAAAGTCTCTAACTTCAAGCTCATTCCATTAGTAAGGTGCATAGTACTGGAAACCAGTGTGCCCCATTTCAAAGTTTGTGTGAGGAACCTTTCAAACCAGTCTCTCCTGTGAGCTGGTGTCATGGTTATGAGCTTCGAACTGAGATAAGGATGTTAAGATCTGTGCAGCTTACAGGCCCTCCCTCTAAATGGAAACAGATGTATGCTGTTGCTTTCTAGATGCCAGCGATGTCCATCCAACCTTCTTAAAATACTCACAGTGGTGAGCACAATAGCTATCTTGTGTAATGAATCAAATGGCAGTGTGATAGACAGTGTCCAGTGGTTTTAGAGGCAGCAGCATGAGCATACATCTCCATAAGCCAACACTGACAGGATAGTGGACTCCATTATGTTTTCTTCTATATTCAAAGGAGAAACAGACTCGGTTTCAGTGTAAGAATCAAATTTGGAGTTTTAAATTTTGTACTCCAATCCAGTATTCAAATTATATGTTTTTTATCATGGCAAATAAGCTGCTTTCATGTGTTATTTTGTGCACCAGTGTGTTTAGCTGTTGTGCATGGATTTCACAGTTCTTAGTGACCGGCTGAGGTGTGCCTCCTCAATGCTTTCAGCTTAGTGTTCTTTTACTCATCAGTACCCTCCCATAGACACTTTCCACACAGTGACAAATTAATTATAGAACAAACAGGCTTATATTTCAGAATTTGTTCATATCTGAAATGTGGGACTCTTGGATCCAAGTAACTTAAAATTTGGAGTCTGTGGGTCTTGGGATTGTGAACATCAGTAGTTCAAGCTCTTGTAAATTGCACACTTTTCCTTTTTGGTGTTTATAACAAGCAAACAAAGAGGTCTACAGGTCATCAAAAGCAGCCTGCAATGTGGAGAAAGCCTGGTTTGCAGCAGAGCTGATGGCATACAAGATGGTATAATGACCATAACAATACTGAATTGGAGATAAATAATACTTATGTTCAGAGTACACAGCAGTGGCCCTAGTACTGATCCTTGAGGGACACCTTTTTCAACCAGCTCGGGACTTGATTTGAAACCATCAATGACAACAGTTTGAATTCCACAAGAAAAAAAAAAGACTTGAAAAAATCTTAAGCAGAAACACCAAAACAGCTTACTTAAGGTGTTGTGACCGACAAAGTGTCAAAATCCTTGAACAGATTTACTAAGGATGCAGCACAGTGCTGCTTTTTATCCAGTGAGCGAACAATGTCATCCGCA